GAGAGCAAGAGCCAATAACAGTAAGTATGAAAAAAATGACAATTTTTTTCGTAAGCATTGGTTGAAAAAATGTGAACCTTTAATGGACCGCTTATATCGGAGATTTTTAATGCCGTTCGATCTAATCTGATACACTGTTTTTGGGCCGATATCAAATTACTATCACTTGTAAGTCGCTTTGGACAACAGCGTCTGCTAAATACATAAACATAATACCGATATCGGTATCGGAATGGGCCATCCTTAGCTGCAGTAACCAAATTTTACCACAGGATGTCATTTTTACTTCATTTCTAAATAATGCACCTTTAAAACAAACTAGAGGACTAAATCGTGACTAGAATTAAAAAGAATTTCAGTCAAAGACTAAAACTAAATATAATTTCTTGTCAAAATTAACTAGTTCAAACACTCATCATAAAGCTTCAGGGGTTTACACAGCACAAAAAATATGACTGTGAAGCTGATTATAAAAAAATATTCATTACTTACATTTTCTAGTTGGTAAAAAAAGTTTCTGTCTGTAAGTGCATTTTAAAAGATCTCTGCTTATTTCACAAAACAGATCCGCATTTCTAACTCCATCTGTCCGTCACCACTGACTCTAAATGGCCCATGCATGTTTCTGATTGATTGTCCTGAGTGTGTGTGGGGTAGAACAAACACACAGAATATGCTGAAAAATCTCCATTGGTGTTTGCCTTGGTGAATACATGAAAAATATATATTCATTAGAATAAAATCATAATTCAAGAAAACCACAAAAACATGTCTCAAGATTAACTCAAAATTGGATTAGAAACATTTTTATAGAGACACAAAAAACTTGGTTAAAAGACATAATTCTTCAGGTGCATGAGGTGGTCATGGGAGAGAAGCTGTGCTTATAGAGGAAAAGAAACCATCCCCGCAGACTTCATGGAGTTGTCTGTGAGACATATCTTTAGCCAAACTTCACATGCTGAGAGGAAGAGATTATGCTCCCCTTAGGACCATCCTGAGTCAGAAGTTAGCTTTTTCCTCTCAAAAAATAAACAAACCTTCATGTAGAAATTTGTTTCAGGTTCCTGGTGTTTAAATCACAGAGAGGAATAAGGTAAAAGCACCACTTAGCTTTGAACAATTACTTAGAAAATTAATGTAAGTAGAAAATAAAGTTATTATAAGTATAAACTAAATACATTTATAGGTGCTATGAACCTTTCTGAGTGCAGTACCAAGTAAGTTCTTTCACAGGATGGGGAAATTTGATTTATTAGGGCCACTGCTTCTGAAAGAGATGAGTCTGAGGTTTAAAGCGCAAAACATCATCAGCATATCAACAAATTTTATGGGTAAAATGGCAATTTCGGTTCCACAAATGTCTCTTTTTACGCAGATTGCTGCTGCTAGTTGTTCATAGCAAATAGTGAGAGAAAGAGAGACTACAGCCCTGTTTGGTGCTTCTTTTAAGGTTTAATCTCTGAGAAACACAAATATATCATATACTAATTTTTCAAAAACCAGTGTTTGTTTTTATAGTTTTGAGAGCCTGCTGATCAAATCTATCTAAAATAAATTCTAATACAAACCAAGTAAAAGCTCAGTTCTCAGCAGGATGTAAAATAATAAAAAATGCCTGAAAATAAATCAAGTTTATTTATATAATGTCAACGTTTTACATTTGCTATCTGAAGGTCTTCTGTGGTCCTTTTGACTAAAATGCCACAATCAGAAAAAGAATGCAAGACTTTGCTGGAGTGTTGGGGATCATCCAGATTGTTGTACACTTAAAAGATTAAATAAATGTGCTGAAAAACGAACATGATAACTACATTTGAAGTGTGTGGTCAATGATGCTTGTCAAATACCTGTTACTTTATGTGAAGCCAACTGTCTTCTGCTTCTGGTCAGTCTCACAAATAAGACATGTAGTATTTTGTCCAAATCAGTTTCATCGAGTATACACAAAAATGCAGCTAATATAGCAAATCTGCAATACAAGCTAGCTTAAAATCTATTTTTCATGCCTTGACTAAGTTATAACATAGCATAGCTATGACTATTTAGTGGAGATTTTAAAAAGGAAAAAAAAAAATTAATAAAGTGGTTCTCTCACATTTGTCGAAAAACTTCTGCCAATAACACAGCTAGGACAGAACGCAATGATTTCACCAGCCGGTTGTTTGTCTCAACGAACTGGTGCACTTCCACATTTACCTGGGTCCTCCATTCATTACGTACTCACGTATTCAGCAACAGTGGTGTGAACGGTTCGTGACTCAATAATGTCAGAGAAGGAGGAACAGCCAGCTGCTACCAATTCAACTTAAGGACAAACTACTACAGTCCCATAAAGAAAATCATTATTTGAAGTCACGTGAATTCATGTTTGGGCGTAAAATGAGCGACTGGTGTTTAGCGCTCTCTCGTTTCCTCTGGCAATGTGTGTTCCAGTGTCCGGCAAATGTGGCCCGGGAATGATAGCAGACAGTAGCGAGTGTTCCGTGATCGAGTTTGTGTTTAACAGCTAGCTTGTTTTGCAGATTTGCTATTGCAGCTTTAAGTCTGATTTAAGAACAA